AGGGCTGTCTCTTCGTAAACCACAACTCACGGAGACCCTGCTTTCACCGTCCTGCACCTCCCCTCGTGACCCGGCAGCTCGAACCCAGAGGGAGTGCACGGTAGATTGGGACAGAACCCGCCCGGGAGGCTGACAGCGGTCCTCTAGAGCCGCCAGCCCCAGTAGCAGAGAGCCTCAGCAACGCGGTGCGCGACACGCGCACCCCAGCAACCCATGGGAGACCGGTGCCACGCCCAGCAGCTGGCGCTCCGAGATCCCTGCGACCCCATACCCATACATGTAAAGTAAAAATAAAAGGTTTAAAAATAAATAAATTTTTTTTTGGTCTTTTTGAGACAGGGTATCCCTGTGTCCCAGCTAGCCTGGATTCGCTATGGAGACCAGGCTGGCCTCGAACTCACAGAGATCCACCTGCCTCTGCCTCCCAAGAACTAGCATTAAAGGCGTGTGCCACCACCCTCCAGCCCAATAATTAAAAAAAAAAAAATCAAATGAGGGGCTGGAGAGATGGCTTAGTGGTTAAGAGCACTGACTGCTCTTGCAGAGGACCCGGGTTTGATTCCCAGCACCCACATGGTGGCTACAAACCGTCCTTAATTCCAGTTCCAGGGGAATCCGGAGCCCTCTTCTGACCTCTAAGGCATTGCACAACATGGGTGCACTCACATATATGCAGGCAATACACTCACTCATACACATAAAATAAAAAATAATAAAACAAATATTTTTTTAAAAGGAATAAAATATTTTTTAAAAAAAGAAAAAAAAATCTAATGAGAGAGCCAGGTGTGGTGGCGCATGCCTATAGTCTCAGCACTTGGGAGGCAGAGGCAGGTGGAGCTCTGTGAGCTCAAGGCCACCCTGGTCTACATTGTGAGCCCCAGGCCAGCTGGGGCTACAGGAAGACCCTGTTACAAAAAGACAAAAAAAAAAAAAAAAAATCAAATGAGGTTACAAAATGGGGGTTCATGCCTAAAATCCCCAATACTTGAATGGTTCATGCCTATAATCCCCAATACTTGAGAAACTGAGACAAAAGAATTATGAGTTCAAAGTCAGCCTGCGCCATATAGTGGGAGCTTGTCAGGAAAGGAAAGCAAAGCAAACAGGAAAGGGAATGAACCATTCTGAGTATTTACTTAAGTATTAGCATCACTGAGGTTGTCTCCCAGTCACTTGGCGAGCTGACAGGAAGTACTTCTCTTTCCTCCTTGCTGTTTCTTTCCCTTCCCCGCCTCCAGGCCCTTGTTTTCCTCCTCAGTGACTAGGCCAAGATGATGAAGCCTGGGGAATAGGAAGTAGAATCTGAGGGCTCCTGGTAGTGTGGTCATGTTTGATAGAGAAGTTGAAAATACCTTGTTTCTGGCACCATTCCTGGGTGGTGGGGGATAGATTGAAATGAGAGTAGATTTCAAGTTCCCAGATCTAGAGTAGTCCAATACATCTGACAGGCCATCACCCTAGTAAGGCCAAAGCGGGCTCTGAGGAAGATTCAGGACCTTGAAGAATATATCACTGAGGACACTGTGGAAATAGCCCAAAGCAGTCAGCAAGAAGTGTGACTTTCTAGTGTTCAGTTTCAGATCTTTATGACATGGACAAAGCCACAAGCATCATCATCCATCTGGCTCAGGGTCGTTTATGGTGATGAAAGACCATGATGAAAAGATAAGAAAAGGCCATCTGCAGATCTCTGTGACTTTGAGGCCAGCCTCGTGTACATAGTGAGTTCCAGGCCAGCTGGGGCTCTGGGGAACCCTGTCTCAAAAACACCAGAAAATAAATAAATAAATAAATAAATAAATAAATAAATAAATAAATAAAGTAAAAAAAATAAAAATAAAAGCCACGCAAACAGTTCATAAACATGTGAAAGAAAAATACTTAGTTGTTCTCAGTTTAATAAATACAAAATAAAAGATAGATTTTTTTTGCTCCTACATCGAAAAAGTGTTTTTATTTATTTATCTGTGTGTATATGTACTCACACATGACCACGCATGCCACAGCATGCATGTGGAGATCAGAGGACAACCTGTGGGAGTCTGTTCTTTCCTTCCTTCCACGATTTGCATCCCAGGGATCAAACTCAGGAAGTCACACTTGGCAGCTAGTGTCTTTACCCACTAACCCACCTCACCAGTCCCCAAAGGGTTTTTATATATAAATTGATATAAATTGAAATGTCTATTAGGCTCTAGGTAGAGTACTGAATGGGCAGTTGGGTGTGTGAGCTGAGAATAGGGTGGGGAAATGGTCCTGCTAATTTGGTAAAGCCATACCACCACAAATGGTCAGTATTCTGTCCCTGTTTGTGTTCTTTACCTCATGACTTGGTTTTAATTTTTAAGAAAATCTGGAAAAAGCTTTCCAAATGCCTCAAAAGCTCTATGAAGGTAAAGACAGGAGACCTAGCAGAACATCTGGCCATGATCAGCTCCCAGAATCCCCATGACCTTCTAGCTTCAGCGTGGCACAGTTCCCTGCCAAGATTCTCTGGAGCAGGGTTTCTTAAATGCTTTCCATTCGCAAACTTCCTTTGCCCACAAAATTTTTTATACACCCCAAAGCATATTGGTATAAAGAAATATATATATGCAAAGCTAATGTTCACTAATCATAAATTATGAATTTAATTTTAAAAATTATCTTGGTATACATATAATTTTATTACTTATTAAAGAAAAAAATAAATTTGCAGACTAATGAGATGGATGTACTTGTCTATTTTACATAAAGAATTAAATATTGGCTGAATATTTGATACTGTAGTGCACAGAACATCTTCAACACTTTTCAGAATTGATTGATGTGTTGATTTAGTAATCATCGCCACTAAGAACACTGCTTCACATACATGCATAGGACAGAAGGTGGACATTTGTTGAGAAATTGTTGAGAATTATGTCCTAATTCCAAGTTAAAATTTATTTCACAATTTTTTATGAAACTCAAGTCAGAAACTCAAACAGCAATTTTTTAAATTTTTTATTTATTATTATTTATTATTTTGTGTGTATAACTATATTGCCTGCATGCAGGTAAGTACACCCATGCCATGCAATGCCTGCGGAGATCAGAAGAGACCATTGGATCCTCTGGGACTGGAGTTACGGACAGTCGTTAGCTGCTATGTGGGTGCTAGGATTTGAACCCAGGTCTTTGGCAGGAACAGTCAGTGTTCTTAACCGCTGAGCCATCTCTCCAGCCCCAAACAGCAATTTTTAAAATCAAACATTTTCATTGGGTGTGGTGGCACACACCTTTAAGTCCCAGAACTCATGAAGCAGAGGCAAGTGGATCTCTGTGAGTTCGAGGCCAGCCTAGTCTCCATAGTAAATCCAGGCTAGCTGTGAGATCCTGTCTCAAAAAGACTAAATAAATAAATAAATAAATACATACATACATACATATAGGGAGACCCTGTCTCAAAAATACCAAGTAAATAATAAATAAATAAATAAATAAAATCAAACATTCTAGCACAACAAAATCCAAAGATCTACTAATATGATTCATATACACTGAGGAATCATGGCAGCTAAGTACTAAAAGTCTTTGTTTTTCATAGGTAAACCATTAAAAACACTGCAATTCCTACTGTACAATAGTCTTAAATCTGAGCCAAGGTGTTTCAGGCACAGCAGTCTGCATCCTGATTCCCTATCAGCAATTTGGGTAACCTCTTCAGAGGATGGTGTGATAAGAATAGGAGGTAGGAATTGGCTAGGCAGTTAGGGTAAAAAGACCCCAAAGAAAAGTCACCAGTTTCTTGGCTAAAAGTCCAAATGTCTTTGGGCCTCTTAGCAACATACTCTGTTCCAAAGGCCAAAAATGTCAAATGTATTTGGGAGCTTTTATCTAATCCCTAAAAGATTTTAGGGTTACCTCCTCAGTGGGGGGAATGTTAGAGTAGCAAAAAGCCCCATGAAAGAAAGGAAGAAAGAAAGAGGGGCTGGAGAGATAGAGCAGTGGTTAAGAACACTGACTGTTCTTGCAGAAGACCTGGGTTCGAATCCCAGCACCCACATGGCAGCTAACAATTCTCCGTAACTCCAGTTCCAGGGGCTACAATGGTCTCTTCTGTCTTCTGCGGGCATTGCACGACATGGGTGCACTTACCTCCATGCAGGCAATACACGCATACACATAAAATAAAAATTATAAAATAGTTTAAAAAAAAGGAAACAAAGAAAGAATACATGAAGTTGTCAGAAAAAAGTGATGGGGAGATATGGGAGGAGTTGAAGGGGAGGGAGTGGGTGTGGATTTGATCAAAACACCTTATATGCAAGTATGAAATTCTCAATAAAATTTTTTAAAGTAAAAAACCAAAACAAAACAAACAAAAAAGAATAGTTTCAGTGAAGTAGTAAGGACGATGACATCATTGGAGAATATTTTTACTGTTTCTTTTCTATGGTCTCCTATATAGTTTTACAACGCTTGTTGTTATTTATTGAGATAGCATCTTGCCTCGGCTGGCCTGGAACTCACTGTGTTGCACAGGCTAACCTCATACTGATGATCTTCCCATGTCTTCCTCTCAAGTGTGTACCACACCAGGCTCGAAGTGCAGAAACACAATATATACACATAGCTTTATCAGTTATAAAAATAAGTTCATGTATTAAAACAACCTTTTTTTTTTTTTTTTTGAGACAGGGTCTCCCTGTATCTCCAGCTGGTCTGAAACTCACTATGTAGACCAGGCTGGCCTTGAACTCACAGAGATCCACCTGCTTCTGCCTCCAATATTAGACAATCTTATTCTTTTAAAAATTTTCAGTTTTGCCTCATTTAATTCCAGCACTCAGGAGGCAGAGACCAAAAACAAAAAAAGTTCACTTTTGTAATACTGTTTCTTAATAGTACTGAATATGTGCAATGTCACTTGTCCTTTAATCTAGAACTCATTCAGACTTCCCTGTTTTCTCTCTTTATCTGTCCCGAAAATATCTAATCACTCTTTTCTAATGAGATCTCTTCCTCTTTTCAAGGAAGACTGTGTTTTGCGCAATATGATGCTTACAGAGCAGCTAGGTCTAACAGAAATTCATACAGCTCCCCCTACCATCTTGAGGAAGTCATGCATCTTCAGGTATGAGCTGGGCCTGTTTTGTCTGACTGCCAGAATACCTTTCCCTGTTGTGATCATAGATCTGAAAGACACAATGTCTGCCTTTTATTAGCATATACTGAATTGTTCCCATAACTTATTTATTTTTTAATTTATAGACAACAAAAACCATTTGTTTTTCATAGTTCTATGAATGCTATAGTGTATATAGTCTTCTAATCCCTAGCAAAAACAGGATACAAAACAATTCTAACAGATGTGACTGCCACACTGGAGAAGGAAACAACTACTACATTTCCAAGAAAAATCTCAGTCTCTCACTGAAAGAGATGAGTAGATGCCCTGCCCAGATCCCCAACATGCCTTTGCCCAGCCCCTGTAGGTACTGCTGCAGGTAGCAATACCCACAGGGAGATGTTCTCTCAAGAAGTGCTCTTAAGTGATTAGATGCCCTCAGCAGCAGCTGCACAAGAGTTACCTGAACACTGTCTCCTCAAATCACCACCACATACCTAGAGAAGCTGAGAGCCGATGACAGACAGGTGCTAGGAGGCAAAAAGAGTCTTCCTTGCCTCCAAGTAAGACTTCTCTTTGGTACAATGGACATCATAGATCTACTCCTTGGGATTGGGCTGGGAAAACTGGAACTGCATTTGTGTTCAGCATCTCCCTATCTTTCCTATCCTGCTTCCCTCAGTCCCTCAGACGTTTCTCCAGAGATCACTTCCTGGAAAACTACTTGCATAAGCATCCTTGTCTCAGGGCCTGCTTCCAGGAACCTGACCTAACATATTCATCAATCCTTTCAGCATTCATCTAACACATTTCAGAAAATAAGCACATTAAAAAAAAAAACAACAAAAAAACCCAAACACCTCCAGGTAAGTACAGCTACATGGTAGACGGTGAAGCAGAGCCTCACGATACAGAAAAACCTGGGGCTGCTACTTTAGGTGGACTTGTCAGGTAAGGCATCTGTGCTGAAGGGAGGTTCAAGCATAGAAGCATCCAGCGAGGTTGGTGGCACACGCCTTTAATCCCAGCATCAGGAGGCAGAAGCAGGTGAATCTCTGTGAGTTCAAGGCCAGCCTCATCTACAGAGTAAGTTCCAGGCTAGCTAGAGCTACCCAGTGAGACTTTGTCTAAAACAAACAAACAAATAAACAAACAAACAGAGAAACATTGAATGAGTTGAGCCAAAATACAAAGCCATGTGAAAACAATGGGTGCCACACTCCAGACAGATGAAACAACAGTGATACTCATGCTGGGCACAAGAGAGAGAAATTCAGTATGCCTGGGTGGAATGTTGTGAGCAAGCTATTTTTTATTTTTATTTTTGTTGAAGTTGTTGTTGTTGTTTTGAGACAGGGTCTCCCTGTAGCCCCAGCTGGACTGGAACTTACTATGTAGACCAGGCTAGCCTTGATGTCACAGAGTTCCACCTGCCTCTACCTCCTGAGTACTAGGATTAAAGGCATGCCCACCATGCCTCGGGACAAAGCTGATGTTTAATATTTGTACTTATGTGGGTTTGTTTTCAGAGATTTCCTCTTTAAGTGCACAGACACTTCAGAAGTTGTTTTGGCCTCAGCCAGTGGAGAAACCCACATAGTAATTCCACTTCGTGAGAGAACAAGAGAGGCTATGGGAGTTCTTGATGTGAACATCGGACGGAGTAGGATGTTGTTGTATCAAGAATACAAAGATCTACAGAAAATGATAAAGATGATCCAAACTGCCTGCTATGAAATATTGGGAGAATTCTCTGGAGAAATAAAGAAAAACTTGGTCCTAGGTACTTTGAATATGGTAACGGTCTGGATTCATGGGTTTAATTGCTTGGAGGATATCACAGATACTGAGATGAAGGATATATTTTCCAAAATTAATTGTTTCAATATGTAGATCTTTCCAAGTGAAAATAATTCCCTTATGCAGTCTTAGCCTGATGAGTATGTATGATCTATAAATTAAAACAAAAGGCAAGGAATCATATTATTATCTTTGTTAATACTATATAGTTGTAGAACTAGAAGGACTCAAAAGGTAAAATGGAACTAAGTGACCCATCAGGTATCAAACACTTAAAAATATTGTATTTATTATTTTTACATTATGTGTCTGAGCATATTGCCCATATGTATGTCAGTGCACCCATGCCATGCAGTGCTCACGGAGGTCAGAAGATGGCACTGGATCCCATTGAACTGGAGTTACAGATTGTTGTTAGCTGCCACGTGGGTGGTAGGAACCAAACCCGGGTCCTCTGTAAAAGCAGCCAGTGCTCTTAACCGCTAAGCCATCTCTCGGGCCTATCAAACACTAAATATGCTCTTTCATTTACCCTTATTGTATCCGTATGAAAGCAATAATGATACCCCATTTTACAGGTGAGGAAAGTGAGATTCAGAGAAAGCTAACAACAAATGGTGAAAGTTAGACTGGAACTTGGGTTTACTGTTCTTTTCACAATTTTCCATAGCATTAAGCAATTGGATTATCTCATTTTGCTGATTAAAGAACTAAAGCCTGCAAAACAAGTAGATTGTCCAATGTCCAATAGCAAGCCAGTGACTGAGTCAAGACCAAACTCTAGTCCTTCTTTGTGACTACACATGCCCATGGCTACTCTTAGCACAATAGTACTAGTTTAGAGAGTGCAGTGGGAAGAAGGAGGCATGGAGAAACCATTAGCTAGAACAAGGTGACTAGAATTAGAGTAACACCATATGGGATTAAGTGGAACAATTTCTAGCTGTTACAGAGTATGATAGAAAAGAGAAGAAAGCCAGGTGTGGTGACAAGACCCTGCAATGCCAGCTGCTTGAGAAGCTAAGGCAGGATGATGGCTGGAGCCCAGAAATTCAACTAGAAAGAAATAAAGGAAGAGCGGGGAGGAGAAAAGAGTGAGAAAAAAAAAAAAAAAGAAAATGCATGTGCTGTGAGTGTTCACTATGTGCAGATCCTGAGACTAAGCATATTTTATTCCCAGCACTGGGGACTAAGCCCAGAGCCTTACACATGCTTTGCAAGTACTCTACCACTAGTCCTCTTTTTAATTTTTATTTTGAGATGGAATCTCCCTACATTGTTCAGTCTGGCCTTAAGCTCACTATATAGTTCAGGCAGGCCTTGGACTCATGATTCTCCTACCTCAGCCTCCCACATAGCTGGGATTACAAACCTGTGTCATCAGGCCAACAAGACCAAGCCTCTTTCATTATTCCATTTAATTCCCATGGCTCACCCAGGACGTAGGGATTGGCCCTATTCCTACAAAAGAAAAAGATATTCAAAAGAATAGAGTTAATAAGGGAGAGAATATTCAAACTAAGGCCTAACTTAAAGCTTTTATCTTTTCTCAGTTTTTTCCCCTAAAAGCTGTATCAGATATAATTCCATTTCTCTCTTTTTCTTCTTTATTTGTGATTATAATGATTTTTAAAATAATATTTTTATTAATTATTAGAGAATTTCATACAATGTATTTTTGATTTTTATCTTATGTGTATGAGTGTTTTGCCTGCATGTGTGTAAGTACATCACATATGTACAGTGCTCTCAGAGGGTAGAAGAGGGAATTGGATCCCCTGAAACTAGAGTTATGGATGGTTGCTAGCTGCCGTGTGGGTGCTGGAATCCAAACCCAGGTCCTCTCCAAGAGCAGCAAATGCTCTTGACCATTGAGTTATTTTTCCACCCCATACAATGTATTTTGATCATATGCACCTCCATCCCCCAGTTCCTCCCAAGTCCACCCTCATCTCCCTACCCATTCAACTTTGCTAAAAAAAAAAAAAAAAAAAATAGCGCCAATTGATTTGTGTTGCCCCAATACTCTTGGGTGTGGGTTGGAGTATGGCTTGCCAGGAATCATACCCTTAAAGAAAACTTTTTTTTTCCCAGTAGCTAGCAATTGCTAATAGCTCCTCAGTTAGGCATGGGACTTTGTGCCTACTTCCCCCCTCTCCATGCTGGGGTTTTGTCTGGCTTGAGTCTATACAGATCTTGTGCATGCTGTTACAACTTCTGTAAGTTTGTATGTGCAACTGCCCTGTTGTGTCCAGAAAACACTGTTTTGTTTTAGTCATCCACCACTTTGGTCTTTTTTTTTTTTTTTTTAGAAAGGGTCTCCCTGTAGCCTCAGCTGGCCTGGAACTCACTATGTAGACTAGGCTCACCTTGAACTCAGAGATCCACCTTCTTCTGTCACCATGCCTGGCATCCACCATTTCTGGCTCTTACAATCCTCCTGCCCTCTTTTCTGAGATGATTCCTAGCTTGGGAGGAAGGGATATAGTACATATGTCCCAGTTAGGGCTGAGCAGTCAGCAGGCCATTCCTCTTTTGGATTTCATAGTTAGAGAAACTAAAATTGCAGGCCAGCTGGGCCTACAAAGAGACCGTCTCAAAAAGACCCCCCAAAATTTTTTTGTTGTTTTATTTTATTATTTTATGTGTATGTGTGTATTTCCTGTATGTATGTAAGTGCACCCATGTTGTGCAATGCCTGAGGAGGACAGAGGAGGCTGTTGGATCCCCTGGAACTGGAGGTATGGACAGTTGTTAGCTGCCATGTGGGTGCTGGGATTTGAACTCAGGTCTTCTGCAAGAACAGTGTTCTTAACCACTGAGCCATCTCTCCAGCCCCCCAACAAAAAGACCAATTTTTTTTTAATTAAATAAAATTGCTTAAAATCATAGGACATGGTCTTCTTTGCCCGAAAAGAAACTTTATTATAATATGCTCAGAATGTTCTGAAAGAATGACGTATATAACTGTGCATCAACGTGAGCTGTTTCTAATTCCAGAGATGGAGAAGGCAGGAGAAGTCAAGCGTGCAGGCATTCTCTTCTTCCGAACGATGCTGCAGGAGCTGCAGGAATG